ATTCATATTTCACATGTTTCACATGTTGAAGTGCAGTTTTAAGTGTGTGTGCAGGGGGAGAGGGAGGGTCAGTACTGTCAGTGAGTGTTGGTCAGAATTACTCACCTATCCTTTTGTCTTTGGGGCATAAATTCACAGAAACCCCAGCCACGAGTGGCAACTTTTTAAATGCATTTTTTTTTTTCTTTTTTTGTCGTTTGACTGTGTGGTTTTCTTCCTCTCTGTAACACAAAAAGGATGCTGACTGAGCTTCCCCTGACTGTGTGGTTCTACTGAGGGGGCGGGGGAGGGGGTTCACATGTTAAACTGATTATTCACCTCTGTGGATTATCAGTTCTGTCTGCTCTGAAAACACAACCAGCCTCCTTTGTTTTGTAACCTTTCACTACAATCACAGACGTGGTCTTTTTTTCCAGGTGTCTGGTTGGTGTGTGAAGTTTGTTGTGAAGGTTTTTACTGTGTTTCTAACAATAACACTAACATATGATGGTGTTTTCTAGATTCTTCTGGTGTGTGGAGTTCACTGTCTCTTTGGTCTGATTTTTGACATTTCAGGTTTTGTCTGTTGGGTTGCCAGAAAATAAAGAAAAGAAAAGAAATGACGCTAACTTTTTTGCTCCATCTCTTTTTGTGTGTTTTTTTTAGCCAGGAGATGTTTCCAGGAACAGCAGGAGGAAAGACGACAGAAGGTCGGGGGATAAAAAGCCCCACTCATAGGGGAGGTGGTGCTCTACCAGGTACGCTGACGTTTAATGTCTTGTCAGAAGAATTATTTCTCCACCAGCGCTAATACAAGCACATTCTGTCTCACGCACACAGTGTGAAAGGGACATTTTGTATTTGTATGAAGATGCAAATGTTATTTTTGTACTGCATGTACTGCATGAATTCATGCTAATTGCTAATCTTAAAAGCTGATGTTAGCATAACTCTTTGTCATCTGGCTGCTGTGTGTGAGAGGCAGTGTGGGAAATCTTGTGTTTTTGGTTTTTTTTTGTTAATTCATGGTAAATTCAAGCGTAAGTTAATTTAATTTACAGCTCTTTTTTCTAGCTACTTTGATTTAACTGGTAACTGGTTTAACTTGTATTCCTGAATAATTGACTTGAAGCTGAATTTGATTATTTTATTAATTAAGCAGTTTGTTTAAACTATCATAATTTGGGTTTATATTTTGTAAAATTTTACTCGCATTAGCCACATTTAGTGTTTTTTTTTTGTTTTTTTTTGCTGATATGATTGTTTGACTTCTCAGTCATCTTAACTAATTCTTTGTGACTTCTGCCTCCAGCTGTGTGCCTGATTCATATGTTACTGATTTTGACTTTTTAAACTGACCCTGAACAACAAACCAAATGCGGGTGTTTTCCAAAATGTAAAAATATTTCTGTATTCGCCTCCTGCTGGGTTTGACTCACTGTCCCACAGACTGATGAGTGATGCTGAGTCCTGGGCAACATTTGTGCCCCTTCATGTTCACTGTGACTGTGTGTGTGTGTGGAGTGTGTGGGGGGATGATTCACACTCAGCAGTAACAGCCGCTCTGGCTTTGTCCGGTAAATCCCTAACTTGCAAAACTATTGTAAAATCCATAACAGACCAGTGTCAGTCTGTTAAAGCCTGCTGTTGTTTGTAATGAATTGTTCCGTTGGTAAAGACCTGACGTAGAAACAGCACCGCTGTGTTTTTGTCTAGTCTAGAAGAGTTTTGTGAGGATCAAATCATCAAAACCTTCAACTAAAATGCCAGTGAAATTGGTCTAAATATTGTCGTTTTTTTTTTCAATTAGATCAGTTTAATATGCGATGCCGGTTTTTTAATTATTATTATTCTGTAAATATTTCACCGCATTTTGTTTTATTTAAAATGCCAGTGAAATTAGTCTAAATATTGTTGGGTTTTTTCCAATTAGATCAGTTTAATATGCGATGCCCTGTGTTTTGTCTTACAGGCGTATTCAGAGAACCCAGTTTAGTCTTTCCTTGAAAAGGAAGTGTTCAGAGGCCTCAGAGCTGGAGGAACAGTCTACTTCATACAAATGGTTTTCACATGAGTGGAGTTGATCCTCCTGACAAACGCATGAGCATGAAAACCCACTCCCAGTCGATCAGAAGACACCGGAGCGTCTCACTGAGGTGGATCACGGAACGTGACTCTATTTTCCGTCTTGTGTGGGACAATGAAACTCGTGCTGTCAGTTCACAGCTGGTGTGAGGGCTCTGCTTTTTTTGGAAAAACAAAAAGACTCCAGTACTGAAAGCCACAGGTGCGACTGTGACCAAAGACGGCACAGGAACCTGACTCCACACAGTGACGGAAGAATCCAAGAAGACACAACAACACCAATCAAATCAAACTGAATGATCCTGATCCAACGTCAACACTCGCCTTAGTTTCTTCAGCCCCATCGTGGACAGGATATACTTTTCAGAGGGATTTTTAAAACTTTAACTGAATCATAACCTTTGTTTTTGTTGTTTTTTTGTTTTTTTTTCACTCTCTCTATATATAATTACAGCGTGTACAATTCTTAAAAACATTTTGGATGAAAACACTGGGGAGAGACACCTTCTCAGGTGCTTTCAATATTTACTTAACTAGTTCCACTTTTAAAGACTGCGGTGTGACTTCACAGATTCTTGTGTGTGTACATATATATAATTAATTATTAGAGCAGGTATAATGTTTGTATATGAAAATAAGCTGGTTTTGATTTTAACAGAGGAAATTTCCAGAAATTGAAATTTCAGTAATTCCCAAAGTGGGAATGGATCTAATCCTGCAAAAAAAAAAAAAGCAGCCTTTCAGAGTACACCTATTTTCATGCATGCTGTTGACATTATTTTAAGTACAATTTTTACAAAGTTTGCAAAACACTGTATTCAAACAATGAATATAAAACCCTTTATCCGTGTACACATATACCCAAACATTTGTCACCAGTTTTATATTTGAAAAAAAAAAAAGATACCATAAATCATGTATCATGTGGGGGTGAGGATGATTTACTGTCTTGTCTATGTAATACTGGGGGTTAAGGGGGGGGGCAGCTTCTGCTTGAAGAACGAAATAATCTGAATGTAAATGCTGGAGGGCTGACTCGCTGTAAGACTTTAAGTGTATCGTATGTAATGGCTATAAGGTGTAGGAGTCTCTGTGCACTGTTAGATTGTTGTGTGTCCATTTGATTTTCTAATGGCTGCTGTGGTGTTATAGGACAAATGGGGCATTTCATTACATTATATTATTAGTATTTCTTTTTTTTTTTTCTTATCTTAATTTAAATCCTACTCACTTTGAAGCCACGTTAAACATTATTTGACTACAGCTCAAATAGGTTACAGTGCGACAAAACACTGGATGGTCCAGAACCAATTATTTAAAGCATTAAATAAATTGTGTTTAACTCTGAAACTGTGTGATCTTTTTTAGACCCCAGAGTCTTTATATGCAGTGGAAATAGAATTGTCGTCACTCGGCCGAATTCTTTTTTTTCTTTTTTTTTAATATCTCATTTAAAGAAAAAGGTTTCCATTAGATGCCCATGTAGTCAAAGGTGTGGTGTCCTACTGGTACGATGGCTCAGTCTGCTGGTGTTTATGCTGTGGACATGAAAACAATGTAATATTCTTGGTGTGTGGGGGGAAGGGGGGGGAGGGGTAGTTAAATCAAATCAGGTAGGGTGCTGTACCACAACCCCTTATACCACTATGTCAATCAAGGGGTGGAGGATCCTTTGATACGATGTGAACTATGAATTTTGTCGAATATGTTTTCACCTGAGCAGATTTTTTTCTGATGTACAATTCTTACTAACAGCGTGAAAGCCATTGATAATGTATCTATTCTAGCACTTTGGTTATTCGAGGTCTTTTAGAGGCGATAGCAGCAATGATGCCATGTTTCAAACATCTTACAACAACCTTAAAAAAAATAAAATGCATCGATTTTGCATACTGTCGTTTCTCCTCTTGTCTTTGTGTCCTTGAACGTTCATTATGTAAGTAAGCGATCCAGCAGCTGCAGCACACCGATGTGATAAGAGACAATGTCCTCTATCCGAGTTGCGTACATCTCCCACTGACGTCCTTGAGCAAAAATATCACACGTTTCTTCTGTGTATCCTCTGGTCCACCTTGATGGAGCAGGGCAACAGAAATGTACCCCAGGAAGAATGTGATTGATTTCAGCTTTTAAAAATACATTTTTCTAAAACATTTAGTGCCCTTAAAACCTAACAGATCAATCCAAATATCAATCAACAAATGAATTAATGATGACACCCTGAGTCAGAAGATTATTATTGTTTAGACTACACCTTCCTGCAAACAAATACATACTGAGAATACATGGAAAACATTTAAAAAAGTTATGTATTTTTAAAAAAAGGGTTCATCATAGGGTAGTTAAGACTTTATTATTTTATCACCAATTGTTAGAAATCTTCATAGAAGAACCAGAGCCAAAAAGCATTACTGACATGAGAACAAGGCCAAGTAACATAAACATGTACATAAACAAACTAGGAATGGCTGTGCAGAAAAAATGGCAGCATGGACTGATGAGTGACAAATTGAGCTGAGCTAAAGGGTTAGAGAACAGAGAGCAGTAGAAATCTAGTTACCAAATTAATTCAAAACCATGTGACAGGGCACTCAGAAATGATTTATTTTATTAGTGTTGTATTGTATTGTTTGTAATAAATATTCTTGCTTTACAGATTTTTTTTTCTTTTTTCTTCTGGCCTAAATCCTTCGCTGGGTATTGCCTGTAGTTTCCAAAATGTCAACACACAGTTTGACATCAAAGCAGTGATGACGAGGGTGCTGAGGATGTGCAAATTTCTTCAGGGATGTTTTGTCAATGAAGCACATTGTAGTACTGGAGACATCCTGCCAGTGGCGCTACGTCATCATGCGTGTGCAAGGTCACAGCAGTACCCACCATACCATTCCATTCTGCTGAGAGCTGCCGTCAAACGCTGCTCTCAGCGCGGTCGTCTTCCCTTCCCACACTGTGCCACAGCCATGGCGGACAGCGCCAGTGAGAGCGACACCGACGGAGCGGGGAGTAGCTCGGCCACCCCGATGTCGTCTTCCGCCTCGAATTCGGGCAAACCGAGCATCGTCATTTCCCAGTTTCGCTTGGAGGAGCTGACTAACCGCTTGGCCTCCCTGCAGCAGGAGAATAAAGTTCTTAAAATTGAACTGGAGACGTTCAAACTCAAATGCAAAGCGCTGCAGGAGGAGAATCGGGACCTGCGAAAAGCTAGCGTCACCATTGTGAGTAGTGGTAGCCTGCTAACTAGCTCAGATGCTAAAGCAAACGCCACACAGACAACTACATTTGTCAGTCAGTTAGCTACGGTTTAAGTGGCTTATTCTATGCTAAACTCACAACGACAGATCATTTTTGTGTGTTCATCAGGTGATATTGTGTGCAACCGATAAAAACCGTCTCTTGTTTTGCTGCTATAACTGATATAAGCTAGGTTAGCAGTGTTGCTAATTGAGCTAGCGGGCTAACTTTTGCTTGGTTGTGGGGCAGCAGCAGTAGTAGCTGGATGAGTTGCTTTATGTTTGGTATTGAAGACTTACAATAACTGGTGATTAAAATAAGTTTTAATTACTTCTAAAGTTATGTTTAGTATTGAAGACTTACAATAACTGGGAATTAAAATAAGTTTTAATTACTTCTAAAACTATTTTTAATGCTGGTTACCGAGCCAATGTCAGCGACTTTAGTCAGCCAATTCATTGTGCTACACAACAGTCACCACGTTCTGTCAAACAGTGTGAAAGGGATTTGACAGTTACAGCCCATGCAATAGTTTCACAAAATTTCCAAATGTATGTAAATGTCTATTTTAAAAAAATAAAAAAGAATAAAAAGTAAGGAAATTGTTTTGGATTAATCACAAACCGATTCTGGTAATGTTGGACGTAATCATTGCAGTGAAATTACATCACATTGCTCATTGCTCTTTCTCACTAGTCTTACTCCTCGTATGAACCGCTTGTGGGTTTTAGTCATGTCTTACTCATCTCACACTATAATGTCATGCAGAAATCAAACCATTAGAGCCGTTGATGTGACTCATAGTTGAACAAGCATCTATAAGAATCATCTGTAAGAACAAGCCAGGTTTCTCCCATCCAAGAGGAGATGATCTAAGCAGATCTGCTGGTTGATTTGTTCTTTGTCAGGGCTAGTGATCAAAGCCTAAATAAACTGGACACTATATTGTATTATAATTTTAAGTTATTTAGCATCTGTGAATCTGGTACAAATTGTTGTACCCTGTATGCTGTTGTTAACCGGGCATCAGTTTAATATCTGCAGCCTCAGTGATTGACGCATTTTATCCAGGCACAAATTTGTGATCCGTTTAACTTGAGATTTTCTACAAAGCTGCCAGAAATAATCACCACTAAGAATACAAGTTATTATTTAAAAAAAGGAAACAGTTTATTTTACATTGATATGGTTCTCTTTTCATTTATCAGAGAAAAGTTCTTCTTCCACATTAGTTTGTTTAAACCTTAAATCTTTAGACATTGGTTCTGAGATTTTAGCCCATCAAAACCTAGGCAAATATGCATGACTCACATCCCTTTGAGTGATATTCATGCCAAGTCATTTTCACATCTGAGCATGTTTAGTGCCCATGGAATAAATAGCCCAGCAGCAGCTTTGGCATGGTTCTATGCGTCATATATCTTCATGCTCCCTCTATCAGCCTTAGCGTCATAAAATGTGTAACCGATCTGTTGAATAGATGGGAAGTATGTAGGCCAGACTTAACCAAATGCCAGTGCAGCCATACTGTAACCTTTAAAAATGCAAAACTGATATAGCATTTTGGCTCCATTGTCGTCACTGTCATTCTGTTTGGTGGCATGTGTCATTTTTTTTTTACCTGTTGGCAAAACAGAATGTAGCTTTGAGGTCAGTGAATAATAAGGGTGGAGGAATTTGAGAGTGGTGCTAACAAGGCCAGAGGTATCATCACGGTGTAATGCTAGCTGCAGTAGCTGCATCAACACATTTCCCATGTTTCA